GGCAATTTTCACACGTTATTTTCATAGTAAAACAAGATTAATTCTATTTGCGTTATTTTTCTCATCACAAACGTCGACTGAACAAATTTGTTGCCAAAACTAGTTGGTTTGAAGTACAGTCTTTTCCAAAACTAAATTATAAAGAAACCCTCAAAACTTTATGCAAACAATAACATGAATAAATAACATCATTTTTTTTTGACATTCAAATGCTTTGCATGCTTTAATCTGTTCGTTTAGGTTTCAATTGGTGCGACGTTCTCATAGCTGCAATAAGAGTCTGATATTAGTTAACATTAAAAACACAATATAGTATGTTTATAAATTTGAGAAAAACAAGCGTTAAAAATGAGATATCTTAAAAGCAGGATTGTAATGTTGAATTTGAATTGCTTGCTATTGAATTCTATTTGAATGTGTGTATCATGAATAAAATCATTTCATGTACAATCTCCGTATGTGCACTTCAAAACCTTCAACTTTACCAGAATTCACGAAGAGATGTATACGTAGGAGGAAAATTGTGAATTACAAACTTTTTTTAGACTAACGGATGGACATATGAATGGAAAAAACAACAATGTTAAGCTAAGGGACAAGATGATTCCTACATTTCCGATAAACACACATTTGAAACCATGATCAACGCGATAAAGTAGGAAAGACAAACAACAGTCTTCAGAAAACTACACTGAAATATATGAACACTACTTTAAACCGGTGGTGATTGAAATTACACATGAAGGTTATTCAATCTTCCACGATATCGGTTTTCATTCAAATTTGATAAAACAAAATATGAAGTAGGTAATAATGTGCTAATTAAACAAATTGCCAGATTTCTGATTGTTGAGTGCGGGGTGCAAAAAGAATTTATTCGAAAAATGAACGAGCATAACTTTCAAAACAAGTCTTCCACCGAAAAAACATATGTTTACTGTATATACCTTGTATTTTCTTAATCACATTTAGCATCCCTTTTTTAAATATGCTAAATTATTTTCTCTTCAATATGTTATCTAAACAATGAGAAGATGATCCCTATTTACAGATGACCATTACTATATCAATTGCAGTTAAAATGACGACACAAAATCTATTCACCTATAAACGACAAATTTCTTTAATTTTTGACATATACATATTGATACATAGAGAAATATTTTACTAAAAGCGCAAATGTATCATTTTTGAAGATTTTTTGAAAAATCTTAATTGTCTGTAAATATTACGCAATTAACATTTTATTATGCATTTGAATTTGGATTTTAGTATTCTGTTCTATTATGTTCATATGATTTTTGGAGAAAAAAAATATCGTACAAGAACCAGCAAAGGGCAATTTGTTTTAATCTTGACCTTTCGCCTTGGTTTAACAAAAATTGTACCTTACGAATTATTGACGATCTGGCAAAACAGAAAGTACAGGTATAAATAATGTGCATTAATTTAATCCTGGTACCGTATCCATGAAGAATTTATTTGTACTGGAAAAACAAAGTGAAACAAATTGTAAGAAGACCAACACAAATATTGTAACAGTATCCAGAAATAAAACAAATATGATAAGAAACATTTTTTCTAACTTCGGGTGCAAAGGAAATGATAAAGTTATAAACCGTCATGGTATATCACTCAGACAAACAATCATTTGTAATCACACCAAACTTAGAGAAGATTAAGTTGCAGATGACTAAATGATATAAACATATATCCATGGAAATTGTGAAAACGTAGCTTACAGTAGTGATTCAGATATCAGAAAAACATAACCAACTAATAAAATCTGTGATTGGCTCTAGAGATGTTTTGTCGAATCGAAAAAAAAAAATGACTTTTATAAACAACCATACATGGTTTATACCTGGTAAATTTGTATCGAAGATTTTTTCTGGCAAGTTTCATTCGGACCATTTTGGAACGGAAAATAACCTCAGTTTAATATTGACTCCTTTCATGTATGTACCATCAGATCATGATGGAATTATACGTTTTCAATAGGATCATCAGTTTAACAGAGTTCGATTTACAACAGTAAGAAATGTTTGGGTTGTTCGGAATTTTTTTCTATGCAAAGCACGAAAATAAGCGAGGGAAATGATTAAGGAGATTGTCTCGTCAAACTCAACATGTTATTTTTTTAAAGAAATGTTGCTGTACTATTAATAATGTATATTAGCTTTGACATCTAAATTATCTTTCTTCAACTATTGATTTATATCGTCATATCATTGTTTAATTGTCCATAAATTGTATGCAGCATCTGTCACTAGATTTTAAGCAACAACAATGAATCATGATAGGTTTTATCATTTTTTCTAATTATTTCCGGATGATTGAATTTCTATTCTGTTTGTTATCTGATAAGATAATTGGAATTGAATTAAACGGATACTTTCATTAGAAGACACTACCAAATATGTAAAACGTATGTCTCATTCGCTTGTTTAGTTTTTGAAAAAGAAAATATGTGGGGACGAACAGATACTCGCTCAAAATAGTAAAAATGATCAAATTTCGCATTATCTTGTTGATAATTTTAAACCAACAATGTTCAAAAGAGAAAGGGCGGTATTTATTGGTTTATTTGTCAATCGCTATTATCGCACAAATATGCCGATATCGTTAATTTACCAACACTAATTTTTCGAAGAATGTTATGCTTTAATTGTTTTTACATCTGTCAGCGCTTTTATTAGTTGTGTTTTCATTATGATAACGACCAATGAATAGCATTTATCGTGCTTATAAAGACCTTAAGCATGTATGATAATAACATAATCACGTTAAGTCCAATGAGAATGATTGCAAGAACATAAAGAATGAACACAGTACATTGGCTTTAACATTTTAAAAAGATTTTCGCGGGTTTTTTTTTCTCGAACTTTTTAATACTTGTCTCTTGACTTGGATATTTAAACCTTCGTTTGACATTGTGAAGTACTGCTACATTGTAATGTAAAATATTTGTTTAGATAGTCAGTCACTTTGTTCACACATTGTTGTCAATATAATAAAATTTTTTGCGACTGTCATACAAGTAAGAGGTTTAGCTAGCTATAAAACCAGGTTTAATCCGCCAAATTCTACATCAAAAAAGGTCTGTACCAAGTCAGGAATATGACAGCTGTTATCCATTCGTTTGATGTGTTCGAGCTTTTGATTTTGCCATTTGATTAGGGACTTTCCGTTTTGAATTTTTCTCGCAGTGCGGTATTTTTGTTGTTATACTTTTCACATCTTATTTTTTTTTAAAGTAAATTGAGTAATCTAAATAAACAGCATATAGCACTTTGGCCAAACACTTTAATCTTACTTGGTTTAGTAAATGTATTTGCATTGAAAAATTGTCATCTGGTCTTAAATTGAAAATAATAATGAATTGAATACCTGTGTTTACGTGTCTTTGTTTATCGAAAAATTGTTATATCTTATATTAGCGAATGCATTGTTATGCACAATCAATATAAAAAAGGAGATGGTGTATGATTGCCAATAAGACAACTATCCACCAAGTTCGAATAAAGTAGATGTAAGCAATTACATGTTTTTCTTATCTTTCTTCTACGCTGGTTGAAATTGCAATTTAAAACTTACTTTCATTTCTAAATCACTTAGACAGTTATAATTATGAAATAATGAGATGTAGTAAGATGACACATGACCCAACTATTCAACAGAGTATTAGTATTTTTACAAATATCTTGATAACGTTCCGTTGAAAAATAATTATTGTTTATGAGGGTTTCTATACAATTGCATTTACATGATTTAGAAACCTATTGAGTACCCCTGTAATCAGTTGTTTGTTCTGCGCAGCTGAAATGTAATTTTCACTCAATCAGACAATAATCTATACTTTCAATACAATACAGCCAAAATGAATTATCTTTAAACTTAAATCCCTATTAAATTATCTATTTTTCTACTGTCTTTCTTCATTCATCGTTTTTAAATAACGTCTCAATTACAGCATTTTTTTCACAAAATCGGTGAACTTATAAATCATTGAGAGCATTACAAGTGATTATCATATTGATTACATAATACGTTTTACAAAAAACATTTTTGTCTATCCTGCGGTAATGCTGTCCTCCCCCTTTTTGTAGTAAACCTATATCGGTATTGTTGAGAATGGTTTATTGATAATAAGGTTAAGATGTTATTAGGATTAACCTGCAGATAGCAATATAAATGATTTAATTTGTTTTGTTAGCTGTAATCTAAAGTTGTTAATACTATGAAGCGATAGCTTTCTGTATGTTGGGAAGTTTTTTTTCTATACAGCTTTCTAATTGATTCTATGTTATTATGCAGATGCTTGCCATACTTGTTCAAGGGAGGAAAATAAAAATATCCACGTCATTTTGCTAAATTGTTATCTACTATAAAATTTAACAAAAACTTCATGAAGACTTGCTTCGTTATATAAAGTTTCAAAATTGTTCCGTTTAGAATTCTCATTTGTCCACGTAAATCATTGTCACAAAAAGTTGCATTTACCATTGATAGTAACTTGGTCCGACTTTAATCTCAAGTACAACTCTACTTTTGATATACTTATATCCTTAGAGTCTTAAACCATCTTTACTGGTGAATATCATTCCATGTTTATAAGCAATATAAACATTACGGGAATCTCCCTTTAAGATCCATGGTTGCTAGAAAATGTGTTAGGTAGTCAAAGTAAGGAAGGGAGAAATTCAAATACATTTGGTTATGAAAATATGTTTGATAACTTCAACCGAGAATTAAATCATAGTAAATATATTTTATGACTGTATTTAATTATTCGGTGCTAAATAAAGTTTTTAGCGACGGTGCAAAGTTTGTGCGTGCCGGTGCTTATTAGGTATTTTGTTACGGTGCTAATTCAGATTGCCTTGACAGTGCTATGATTAAATTTGTATTTCAATGACAGGCTTGTTATAATATCCTTCATAGTTATGAGTATTTGTGATTAGATTGTTATTGAAAATTTAAATTATGTTTGTAGGTACCAGTGTAATTAAGATTGCCAAAGACGGTTTTACATTGATTAGTTGTCACTGAGGGTGCTTTTGATGTTAGAGTTGGCACTTAATATTCGGTTGAACTATATAGTTTAACATTTTGTTTTTGGAGAACAACGATTTCCGGCGATCCGACCAGACCCGACCAGATTAGTTACAGAGATTGCAAAGTCATTCTCCACGCCAATGTTTATGTAAGTATCAATACAATATGAAATTTCATTTATTCAGATATTGTATTTCAGAATTCAGAATATATTAATAACTTCAAATGCATTGTCTTCCCTTTCTGTAACTTGTTTTTGGTATGACTGTAACTTCTTGGACATGTTGGACGTTGAACCTAACTCTTTTTATACATAATTACTCTCAAATTTTGTGTCATCATGTTATCTCCTGTTGTCGATTCTAAAACACCTGCGTCAAACAAATGATAAGATATGGAGAAAAATTGAATCTTGGCGCAAATGCTTTCTTTGTTCTATTCTGCATTGTTTAAGCATCCAGAAGTTTGAAAAGGTGGATACAGATACATTCATGTTATGTGAAAAAAAAACCGGTATCATGACATATGCTTGAAACAACATCACGCAACTGTATGTACGACAGAACTCAGAAAGGTTTGCTTTGAGAAAGGTCAAAGTATACCATCCAAATTCCTATTGTTCGTATTATTTACAATGCATATTAAACGAGGTTATTCAGTGATTCATAGTTTAATGTGGCTCTTCAAATATATCCTGTCCACAAACATTCGTTGATACCACCAATATATTACTGTCTTAACAAGAATAGTTTCAAAGACATGTGTATTGAACTACAATGCAACATTGGCAAGTTAAATTAACATTCAAACATTGCAACTTATCCCGTTGTAACTAACAATGTAAAAAAGGTATATTTCAATATTTCTCGCCTTGCAATTTTTGCTCATCATTAATACTATACAACTAGTGTATTTCGGATAAAAAGAAACTGTTGCCCAAAATCTTGTCCAGTTTATCGTTTTGCCGATAGATAATTCGTCAATTTTTTTTATTGTTTTCAAATTGGTATTCAAAAAAACAAAAAACAAAAAACAAAAACATTTATACAGTTGTTAGTCCTCAGGATTTGATTGTAGATTTTATTCATCTCAACTACTGGAAGATACCTTTATTTCGGCTTATGTTTTTGTTTATCTGCCAAGTTTTCAAGATAACATCTGAAACCCCCAAAATGGGTAAATACAGCATTACAAAGCAATAACTCTTATAAAAAGTAGGTGATATTATTGCTTCCCAATTTTGAACTGTCTGTTTCAATGTACAAACCAAAAGCAGCGCTTGCTCAAATCATAAACCGTTAGTAATAGATACATAAGATCTCATAAACATGTTTAACCCCGCCGCATTTTTGCGCCTGTCCCAAGTCAGGAGCCTCTAACCTTTGTTAGTCTTGTATTATTTTTAATTTTAGTTTCTTGTGTACAATTTGGAGTTTAGTATGGCGTTTATCATCACTGAACTAGTATATATATTTGTTTAGGGGCCAGCTGAAGGACGCCTCCGGGTGCGGGAATTTCTCGCTGCATTGAAGACCTGTTGGTGACCTTCTGCTGTTGTCTGTTCTATAGTCGGGTTGTTGTCTCTTTGACACATTCCCCATTTCCATTCTCAATTTTACATAAGGTGTTTATGCTTGAAGTTCTTGGTCTACAAAAATGTTTCGCTTCTCGTGTGAACACCTACGAAATTCACTAACAAAGAAAATAAGTTAAGTGTTTGCAAATTATGGTTTTGGTACATTTTGGCGAAAGCAGTCCGTTTTTATTAATTTGGGCAACAAAAGTATACCGATATTCATGTCTGATGAATCGAGAGGAAAAAACAAGGTAACAGACAAAAACCGAAAAAATCTCATAAACTCCAAAAATCAGCGAGACCGGATTTCCCAACAGGGTTAGTATCTCATTATATGTATGTATCATCCAGCATGCGATCCCACACGCCGTCAATGGTAAATTACATATTTGACGACAAAATGTATCCGAAACTTATTACTGTTATTGCCCCTGGAAAGGTTACATGTTTGATTAATTGGAATGATGTTCATATGGTACATGGTAAACATGATAAAGTCGTTGTCCTTTATAAGGGGTATGAAAACGAGAAACCTTCACAAAGGTCAAACAGAAGGTGTATTAAATAAACCAGATAGAATGATGTTGAACTTATTTTATGGAAATATATCTACAGAAAGTATAATGTTTTGGAACATAATTCAGTAGCAATTAATCTGGAAACTTAAAATGAATGTTTAAGTTGCAGTTTTGACGATTAGCTATGCTTTAAATTGACTGAACGAAATATATCTAAAATCGATTACCTATACTTTATAATCCATGTTTTGAAGGTTTTTTAAACAAAAAAAATATCATAGGCAACTATACTCTCAAAACTTTGAGCAGGCTTCATGAGATTTTTGTACTTGAGACGAATTCCGTATGAACTTGACTACATCTATACTTATTATACAATTTCTTTTAGCTTGTCCTAGATTCTAATATAATATATAAATTGTACATTGTGATAAGGATTTGCAACTCTTTCGTAATTATATATAATATATAGATCTACTATAAACTAAACTATTTTTTTAAACTGAAAACTGACGTTAGTTTTTTGCGTGTGAATCAAATTTGTATGCAAAAGTGACCGGAAGAACTAATGTTTCTATCGAGTGTCTTTTACATATTTAACCTGAATGTTCTCTTAATAAACAAAAGGTATATTCTTAATTTCAAATTGATCACTTTTTAACAAGCAAAATTTCAACCATTTTCAAATTCTTATATATAGACACATGGCATTCTGGAAGTTACCCATCCCTTACAAAACCCTTTAGTATTATTTAAATAATGAAAAGACATACTATTTTAAATCGGTATGTAATTATCCTTTAGTACTGACATATTGTTTCTTGGCTTTGCAGATAAAATGAAAACGGATAAAACGTTGTTGATGTTGATGATCATGATTTGTATGTTATTATCAACTGCTTGGACCCAACAGTCCAATAAAAGTAAGAAGTTTATTTTATACTAGGAATACCATTGTGTGAATGTGCATCCCGCAAAATGTCCAATAATCAATATAACAAGACACTTGAAAGTGTTGGTGCCATTTTTAAATGACAAGTTTTGCGTAACTAGAACTCACTTTTAATGTTTTGTAATCAATTACAAATTTTGAACTAGTGTTTATTTTATTTCTGCAAATACTCGATTGTTGCTTGGTAAATTTTTGGCGTATTTGATTTTTGATAAGTTGATATCAACCCGATCGTAAACGTTTTAAGTTACAAATCATACAAACATCACGTTATGTTTATATAAAATCTGTAATCTCTTTTATAGAAATTCATATGAATATACTGGCGAAGTAATGTGTTGGATAGATTGCCAGGTGTTTGTGGCATGAGCTTGATTTGTAATCCATGAGGAATACTTTCATTATACACATAATGGATTAAATTAGATAGGTGGTGTTCAGTTCTAATTTGCTTTTGTTTAATAGCTCTTAGTTGTTTAAAATAATCATTGATGTTCATGTTATAAGAGCTTGAAACTTAAATTCACTGGGATTATGTGAGTAACATAAAACAGGTCATTCAGAGGAAAAATAATATAGAAGTCTATGAAAAGGACCAACCAGCAAATTTGTACCGGATCGTCTAGAATAGACGATACTGCGCAGATAAGGAACAATTTATATAAGTCTAAAGATTTGCACAACGGTACTAATATAAGATGGTAATATAGGAAGATGATGTTATAGAATCGTGTTGACAAATATTTCGGCTTAACATATAGCCTTCGTCAGTGTCAATAAATTTAACAATAATTTGTATCTTAAAAATAGCTCAATAATACAGGTACGTTTTTGTCTATTGATTTAATCCCAAATCTTGAACATTGAACAATTTTGTTATTTTGTTGCAAACCCGTATACTCATGATGTTTTCGTTTGGCTTTTTGTTTTCTTTATCCCAATAATTAACTGCGAGAAATATTTACATTAGGTCAGCTTGTTAGGGATATGTCAGAAACTATGAGCCAGGCTAGCATTCCGCCATCACAACTCCAGCACACCCTCGGCTTATGCAGTGCAATACTACAAAATTCATATAAATATGTATATGCATATGAATTTCTATAAAAGACATTACAGTATACATATATACAGTGAAAATAATTTGTTTAATGCTGCAACTTCAGCCCAAAACTAATTGCATGGAAAGATATTAACGTAAATTTGTTGTCAAAACCATGAATTTAAATAATATTCATCTGTAGTATTTTTTCTATCGGCTAATCAAGCAGTAGATACATTTGCATTTTATGTTTTCAAACAAGACAACTTTGTAATACTTGTGGTATTCGAATTGTTTCTAAAAACGTTATTACGAAATTAACTCACAATAGTTGATCATTAGTAATATTACAATGTATGACTATATGTTTATAGATCCATAGGAAGTTGCATAGCGAGTAACTATGATCCCATAAAACATTGATGATGAAATAGCACAATGCTCTCTCATTTTATGGCTTATATCATGTACGACACTTCATTTCAAACTTTGACCTTTGTCCCTAAAACAAAATATTCATCATTATATAGCATGACTGTCTAAACTCAATGTCAAATGTTCTCGTGCAAGACTAAAGTACGGTATTAAACTTATATTAAACTTAGCGCATTCGAAATTTGTAGTCTCAACTAACAAAGAGACAATACTTTAAACACAATTTCTTTTACATTTACCATATTATACATAGTTGAAATATTTTGAAAATGATTTGGTCTGTTTTCAGTATACTGGAAGGAAACTGATTATCCTATTATTTTTGGGAGAAATGTCACATTGTTCTGCAATACCTCAGCTGTAGGCACACAGAAAACTACATGGATGAAACAATCTGATGTTATTCTTCATCAAGGCCTTTCATTTTATCCAGATAAATATACGGGGCAGGACGTAACCGATGGTTCTACTCTTACAATAATGAATACTACAGTTACAGATTTCAATATATCGTATACATGCTTGTCTGATGTGCATTCTTACGATAATGTGTTGATAATCAATACGACACATTTCATTAGTAAGCATATTAAACATGTCAGCTATTTAACGAGGGTAGAAAAATCGATATTGGAAGTTGTGTAGTTCCGGAAGGAACGTTATCAGGTGTCAAATGTTTAAATGTATCTAAGTATCAAATTACTAACATAGATTTTTGCAAGATGCATTCGTAACCCTTTAATAGTGGCTCTTTAATAAACAAGTTTATCTTTTTTTAAATCATAAAAGGGTATAATTTGTTCAGATGAGGCGGTAACACTATAAATCTTTTGATAACGATTTTGTTCACATTGTATCATTAACATCGCTAATTGAATATTGGTTTAAAAGCAAGATTTCAGCTCATACTTAAGTTTGATCATTTCAAATATTAACGTATTACTCCTATAAAATTATGATATGACTATTCGCAAGGACGATTTTAATGGAATTTCAATCAAACACTAAGATATATATTTTTAAATCCCAAATAATATCAGAAAAAAAAATGCACCTTCAATTTCTAGAATTATGTCTTTAGCAAGAACTATATGGGCATGTTAGTGAAATATCCGACTAATTTCTCTTTTTGAAACAACCAGTTTCATGATAATAGTTATCAATTTATCTACATTTCACTCTAACAGTTCAGGTTAGGCATAATTAATGTGTATTGATGACTTATTACAAAGGTATTCCACTTCAAACAACTCTGTATCTGTCTGATTATGTAAACTTTTATCGTTCTATGAGAATTTTAACTTACTGATCGATCTGAAAATATTTGATTAAACCGCAACCAGTCGTTAAACCCCTCCCCTATTTCAATATAAAATAACTATACCAAGACAGGAATATGGCAGTTGTTTTAGAATAGTTCTGTTTGGTGATTTTTTCAGGTTTTATGGACTTCTCTTTAATTTGAATTTATTTACTAGGTGTTTGGTATTTTGATAACAATTTTTTCGTTCTGTGAATATTTTACCCCAAAAAGGTTTGTTTTTACTTGCTCAATATTATACTTCTGTCATATGTTTGAAGTTTTTGTTAATGATTCATTACGGGAGATATGCTGATATGGAATTCTTTTTTCCGTCAAAACTTATTTCAAAATAGGTAGTACAGAATGTTTTGTAGATGCAAAGTCATGCGTATTGAATTGTTCTACATGTTCATCCAAGAAGAAGGTCTGCATTTTTTTCTACTTTCAAAACTCCAACCACAACCATGGTTCTATGGGTTCTAAGTAGCAAACATATTTTCACTATTATAACATGCTTTAATCAGCTGATTAGCTTTTAGCCGAACATGTTCGTGAATATTTAGCAATAGTTCAGTTTGTTTCATATTAAGATAATTGTTTGAATTGGTGCTGGTGTAACGTAGATAAGTTTACAATTTTATAGTAATTACCTCTTGATGGTTGAAATCGCGCTCTGTTATAAAAAATGTGTTCACTATATCTTTATCATTAATACAGCTATACCACAATATACAGACATAGTTTGGACTGTTTTGGATCAAAAAATTCTTGTACAGATAAATCTCAAAAGTGTTTTTCCTGTACCTAATTGTAGTGTTCATATAAATGTAAGTTCAAATAAAGTAACACAAGATAATAAAAATGTAAGTACAAATAAAATAACACAAGATAATATAAATGTAAGTACAAATAAGGTAACACAAGATAATAAAAATGTAAGTACAAATAAAGTAACACAAGATAATATAAATGTAAGTACAAATAAAGTAACACAAGATAATAAAAATGGTAAGACAATAGTATTAGTCACATACAAACGTGACATCATGACATAAATAGCACTGTATCGTAACAAAAAAAACCAATACTTTTCTTCTAAAAACAAAGGAAATCACTTGTTATCTCGACTGCGTTGATGTGGCGAATGTGACATAAAGCGATCCTACATTTCGTGGACTGTGTTGTTTACGATTAGCTTCTGTCTTTTGTTAAATTGTTTAGACGTAAATCAATCTGTCGAAACATAAAATTTAAGGAAACTGAAGATACCTTTTCTTGATTAATAGATAGCTTCTTGTGCAATCGTTTTACTTTTTCTGTATTGTACCTAAATGGTTTCAATTTGTTCTGTAGGTTATCCTTACAACAGGCTGTGGGTTATGTTAATTACACAAACACTTTGTCAAACTTTCCTAGAATAATAATCAAATCGTTTCCATTGTCCTGCGGTTAACAAATGAAGATTTTTGCAAATAAAATGATCGAACAATGCAATGATGGGTGGTTAAAACTGTTTAAAAAGTATAAAGTTGTCCAAATCTTCAGAAATGGAATATAGTAGTTTTAACAAAAACCACTGCATTGTGAAGATAAAACTTTCAGATCATATATCTACTTGTTCACTTTTCTTTATTTTATTGAAATAAATGAATACAAGGTATATGTTTAGGAAGTATCATTATATTCTAGAATATTTCTCTTTTCTCATTGGCTGATAGCTATGGAGTATTCTTTTATACATCATTATATTCAACAGGCGAAAAATCATGAGAGGTTAATATAAGATTTGGAACAGCTAACGTAGGTTTGTGACGTCAGGCAAATTCTCGTTTTTTTGTTTTTCTTCTTGTTTTCGGTGTATTTCTTTTCTTTTCTTGCTTTAAGTGATTTTTTTAAGGAATTTGTTGAATATTTTAATTGATAAAAGTTAGCAACAGCAAAAGCAGATGATATATTTTGAATAAAAACAAGGAGAAGCTTTAAAAGTATCTTGAGCGAGTACTGGAAAATTGAAAAAAAGAATAAAAACTCATATAATAAAACAATTGTTGAATTTTAATATCAGTAGATACAATGATTTATCAACCACAAAGATATGACATCCACTCTCTGCCGTTGCCCTCGATAAATATTATATAATCACTGTTAACATTTATCATATTGATAAATCATTGTATTAACCTCATCAATTGTTGATTAAAGCAACTGGTGATTTTTGTTGCAGGATATCATATTGCTGACGATACAACAACAGTCTTTTCATATACAAGATTTATTTTACTATGGCACATTAAACATAACATCACGTACTCAAGAAAAAATGTGTGAACGGAACTTGACTGTTGTATGCGATTTTGGATGTTCATATACTGATGTTATTGCGACTAAGGTTCTCCAGAACTGTAATGGTAATTATACTGTTAAAATTACGAAATCGACGAAACAATTTACGATAAATGAATATGACTAAACAACTCTGTCCAGACTAAACAATTATTGATTTGTAGGATATTTTTCACTTGAATAATAACCCAAAAGACATGTTTAGGTCAATTCTTTTATAGTCATTTATTATGTCAACGTTAAGTCTTCCACAAAACAAAAGATTCAACAATATTTCAAAATCTACCAGTTCCGATTAAAGGGAAAATGTGAATAACTCTAACAAGTATGATATTTCACGGTCACATCTTCAAGTACAGAAAGTTATGACAATGTCATACTTGATTGTAAAATATTACCACGACTTATGTTCGACGACCGAAACAACTTGAAATTTGACATTATGAATCGCTCTTACTTTTTTTGTCAATACATCGTCATGATGATATTCAAGCTTCAGCACACTATTAACAGCATTGTATACAAGACGTAGAAGAGCTATACTACAACGGAACAAAAAGTACCGAACTCCAATGAAAATTCCAAATGGAAAGTTTCTTATCAAATGACAAAATCAAAAGCTATCACACTTTTTTTTATTTGTCAACCGATACCAAATTAATGACCGAATAAAGAAAATTTTAGGAGAATGATGTTATCAATACATCAAACATTGACATCTAAGATTAAACAACAATGTTACTGTAGGAAAGCCATGTACTCAATCTGATCAAGGGCTTTCATTATTTTAAGATTTCTTGAGTACATGTAGAAATTTTGTGACATGAACTTGATTAATACATACACTACACTTTTTTTACATTCAGTTACAAATCAGATGTCTAATATTCACGGTAAGTAGACATATATATTTTAATTACAACCGTTCCTCGATATTAACAAACATTTTGTTTTATAATTTTAATTCCTTACATTAATATCAATCAATTGAATATTTTCAAACACAAACAGTAAGATAAAAATCAATTTTATTTTGTAAATAAAAAAGATAAATAAAAAAATCGGTTATCGTGATTGGTGACATTCAATCATATATGTTTAATTTTTTATAATATATATCCTTAATTGATTTATATTAATGTAAGGAATCAAATGTATTTTAAAGGCCTTCTTGGACTTCACTCATAATAATTGAAAAGATCATGTAAAGGCATTGAACAACCTTCTTCAAACTGGTTCTACACTTCATGGACATTGATAAACTTAAGATATCATGCTAGTGTTCTCTCCATTGGTTCTTCTTGTATAATTTAAGGTTCTGAATGTAAAAAAATCGTTCGAACTCTTTCAGTTTATCTAAACTTTTCGAAAAGCAACAAAGCTTGATTGTTTTCGAACAATTCATGATATGTAATACTAGTTAATACGTGCACTGTATACATATTGATTATTGAATTGTTTTTTTTTTGTTTTTTTTTTGTTGTTGACGCAGACCTCTACTTTAAAATTTCTCAGTGAAAGCAAGCTTTATAAAGATCATTTAATAAAATTAAGCCTCTATTGAACTAGTTCATAACGTTGTGATACGCAGCAAAAAAAAATCGATAAACGTAACGCCATTCCCAAAACAATCGTTATGAATATAATCGCAGATACTGGATGTAAGCTGAACATGCTTGAGCTGCTGATGATCAATTTATAAAGCGTTTTTATGTGTATTGGGGTACGTAGGTAAATTGTAAACAGTAGCTTCAAAAAGAGTAAGGAAAAAAACATAACACAACGTGCGTGTTGAATTAATCTTATACATCATTGTACATACATTCAAATAAAAAAGTAAAAGGAGATTTTTTTTAAAATAGCTAATCCTTTTTAATACTACGCGTAATGATTTAACAGTATAATATGTCAATGATGTATAACTTACTGTATTCATGTAAAGAGAAAATGTCTTAAAAAGTGAATGACCAAAATATTCTTCGTAAGAATCCATTTGATTTATGCTACTTAAATCATACCTCCAAAAAGAAAAATGTGTCCATAGTACACGGATGCCCCACTCGCATTATTATTTTCTATGATCAGTGGACCTTGAAATTGTGGTTAAAACTCTAATTTCGCATTAGAAATAGAAAGATCATATCATAGGAAACATGTGTACTAAGTTTCAAGTTGATTGGACTTCAACTTCATCAAAAACTACCTTGACCGAAAACGTTAACCAAAACCTTTAACCTGAAGCGGGACAGACAAACGGACGAACGTACGGACGAACGGACGAACGGACGGACGAACAGACGAACGAATGGACGCACAGACCGAAAAACATTATGCCCTTAGGTGGGGCATAAAGGTTTGTCTATCATTGCAAGAATGTTTTCTGTATTCAAAACGTATGTAAGATCCATAGTAAAAGAAATACGTTTGTTTATGCTATAAGAAAATAGCATTTATATGCAGAAAACTGAAATCGAAAAGAACACACTAATCATAAACGTTTTCCTTTATTCTAGATTTTGAACACGTTTGGATTATTATTGGAACATTTGCTTCGGTCTTTTTCTATTGATTATCACTGCTGTTTGTCTGGGTTTCATATGTTCTTCCGAGAGAAGGGGTGAGTAATCAAAACTGAAAGAAAAATGTTACCTACTGCGTTTCAAAGTCAAATTTGGAAATTATCATTGTTTTGGTTTTGCTAATAACTTATAAGACATATGGCGGCACATCTGACAGTGGTAGCGACAACATCATATATATGTACTCTGCTATACATTTCAAAAGATAAACAGTCGAAAACAAACTGATAATGCCATGGCCAGAATACGAAAAACAACGAATACACAAACAGTTCACAAAAAACAAAAAACAAAACTAAATGCTGAGCAGAAAGTGAACCACCAAAACCCGGGTGTGATCTTATGCACCCGTTGTGCTGCTCATGCAAGTACAAAACCGGTGATTTGTCTTCTTTGGTAAGTCATTTTCGAGGAAAAGAGGAAGGGATTATGGTTACGAAAATTAGAACACATCCGTCGTCACCTCTGAAACAGATATCAAATAACTGTCAACCAACTCGTCATGGCATCTTTCAAATATTTGAAGGATCCCCTAGAACTCTTGGTTCAATAGACTCCTTATAAAGCAGCAACCCTCTCTCAAGGAAATCATGATAGGAAATGCAAGCTCTTTAATGAGTTCCTGAAGTGTGGAAAATATATATTTACCTTTCCAAAACACTCAATTAAAATCAGTTGTTGAAGGGTTCATGTGTAGTGTTTGCTGTTTGTGTAATATTCTTATAATTTTTGTATTGAACATGCTGTTGTTTGTCTTTCTTCTATGTACGCGGTATGTATGTTTTTTAGCGGCTACTCAGCATATTGTCCCTTCTGTAGGCAAACTTATACGGCACCAAATCGATTTTGCATAAGCCTTTCGTGTATTATTAAAAACTAACAAATGAATGTAAATTAACATAAAAGAAGGCATACAGTAAGTTTCATTAATAACAATTGTCAATAGCCAAATCTATTTAAAAATCTATCTCTATAAATATCTGGTAGATTAATTAAGAAATAATGCACGAGCAGATACATATGTTTTGGGCATTTTTTAATGATTCGGTGCAAATGGTAAAGCGAAATAACCGCTAACATACGGCATACACTTTTCATCTTTTCGACGTGATTTCACTACCGATAATACGTGTATTTAGTTAAGATGGTTTAAGAAAAACAAAATTCATTGAAATAAATATGTCACGAAAGATGTATGAATAAACTGTCCAATCAAGTTCACACAACACACTCCGGACTTAGAAATACAGAACAAAGACAAACAGCGTCCAACACGTGTAGCACAGGCTAGCTAAAGGAGGCAAAGTGTTAAACCATTCAGGTGAATTATAATACTAAATTTGTTTCTTTTTTTTCAGGTGGAAGTCGATATGTTTAGTGTCGGAAAAATATATGTGCCATGCTATGTTTTCATTTTGTAAGTCATCGTTGTGATGAAGTTTGTAGAATGATTGGTTTGTTTCCTGAGAAATATACAGCGACAGAAAGATCGGAGGGAAGTGACAGTGATTCTGAGTTTGAACGAAAACAAAACGAAAGCGAAAACTAAAATCCGATGAACATATACACAATAAAAGAACAATATTATTAACAGATGAAAAGGAGCGTGCAGTTATTGAAATTGATGTGTATAATTGAATTGTTTATACTATGAATGTCGCAATGACTGTGTTATCCTCTGGTGTTTCAACTGGAAAGGAAATAAAGTAATCTCGAATGTATACTGCGAATTCGTACCTTCATGATAATTCATATTAGGTTTTTATTTCATATTGTCCTTTCATTAACTTACCACATACTTCTAATGTGCATCTGGTTGATAGTTTATTTCTTTGGCAATCACACCAAATGGCCTTAATTTGTATATTTTGAGGCTTCCATGGCATCAAATAGGTTAACTTATCTGAGTGAAGTTCTTCAAAAGCGTATTTACACTATTGTTTCCAACAAAACCCTAACTTGAGTGTTTTCTTTTTTAAAGAACCCATCTTTGAATGATGTTTTAGTAAAAAAGTAATACAAGGAGCTTGTATTATAAATGAATCGGTGCAATAAAATGTTTCTAATATATTCCGGCCAAATTTTTTTTTTAAATGATAAAATCATCCTTCAAGTGTAATAAGTACTAAAAGTGTAAACTGGTGATTTCAGCTATTTTGACCTATTGGTAGATCATGTTCTGCTGATCATTTTTCTAAATAAAATTTAAATATATATATATAAACTATAGTTTTCACCCGAAAAAACACAATAAAAAGGGAAAAAGCGTTAACTCCTACATGTATAAGTAGTCGACTGATGATTGCCACTGATTTATAGAACTGTTCTGTCCAAAATTTTTTTTTATTCATCGAAAACAAAACACACGACAAAACAAACAAACAAAAACAAAACAAAGATCGGTAACTCGTCGTCATTGAAGGAAACTAACTCATAAAAGAAGTTGACCTTTTTTACGCCTTTTCTGGTCAGGAAGCTTATTGTCACCGTGTCCACAATAAATATCAAGGGGACAATATATCACTTGATGACAAATCTTTCTATTGATTTTATACGATGTCTTTTTCTGTTCATTGACTACATTTGATTATTTGCCACTGGACGTTACGCAATAAACAGTCCATCAATTAATCGATCATTATCTTAGTTGATGTTTGGAAAGAATGAAATACTTTCACAATTATTTTTGTTTAATGTTTTCTTTTGTCCTATTTGCTTTGAAACTATGCAACTTAGTATGCATGCCCATCGAACAAGATTTTTCCAGCTACACGAATTCTCAAAGCATTTTTTTAAAAGAATACTTAAAATAACATATAAACGTTTTCGAGTGAGAATACCTTACCTCACGAAATTCATTTACATTCTTCTGAATCACAAATTCTTACTGAAGATGCCTGTGTGTATTATAGTTATTCACTTCAAGAATATTTACATAATGGATGTATAGTTCATAATAAAATTAACATAATCATTGTATTCATGAAAATCAATTTTGTTTATCATTGGATAGCATTGCACTTTTGACAGTGTCCGCGTCCATGAAATTAAAAAAAAAACATATATAGCCAAGCCTTATTCATTAACATATTTAATGCACACAGCACTGCACTTTTGTGCGCATTAATATGTTTTCGTAAATGGCATTCTATTCATTTAAGTGTCTCACGAGTTTGTTCGTATGTGGTAAAAGGACTTTTATAAAGTCACAATAGAAAATAAAATTCAGAGGTTTATGTTTTCCCTTTTGTTTCGATCATTTAACTACATACATGTACATTCTCCATGAAACTGTGGGTTCTCTTTTCAGTTTTTAATAGAGAAAATTGTAGCTGAAGAGGGCCAAAATAAAAAGTCAAAGTCTTGTAATTTAAGCGTAAAAGTCGTGCATTCCAGCGAACAATATTACAAAAACAAATCCCGTGATGGACCTTTGTGTCGATCTGATAAGCTTTGTTTTTACTGATTTTTTTAGTTTGTTGTGCTGTTACATCCCTATAGATTATAGGGGTATTGGGCACCTGCAAACATGTTTAACCCCGCCACATTCTGTAAGTGCCTGTCCCAAGTGAGGAACCTGTTATTCATTGGTTGTTGTTTATTGCTGTATATTGCATTTGTTTTTCATTTTTCAATGCCGTTAGTTTTCTCGTTTGCATTGTTTAGCATTTGTCCTGTCGGGGCCTTTTATGGCGTGCTATGCAGTATGGGTTTTGCTCACTGTCGAAGGCCACAAGGTGATCTTAAGTTGCTTACTTCTATGTCTTGTTCTCTGGTGTAGAGTTTCGAAATAGTACGCAGTCGACTAGTAGTTTTAATTAGATTTGCACCATAAATGTATATATAAAACTAACATCCGGAAACATGCCCTATAGTTTCGCGGTGTTCCTCTTGAATAAGTAATATGTGTTGTCCACTAGATGTCTATTCTAGTATTTGTAGGCATTGGTAAAACCTGACCTATCTCATTTCGTCTCATTTTTTATGCCACTGCGGACATATTTACAAGCGGAGCATCTGTGTCACATGGACTCATTCATCTTTTATTTTAAATGTTCCTTCAAATTGATTATTTTCGTTGCCTTCATGTAAGAAGCACATTTTCTTTGTGTGCTAGTGACGAGAAAAACAAATATTTTACATATTTATTTTATCAATAGTTCGTTGCATGGTTTACAAATGGCACATAGATAATACACTTACTATATATATATATATATACAAAAATGCTGAAATCAACGAAAATTGTCGAAGATTCAGATTGTTATTGGTTTAACCATTTACATTAATTGTTCATTTATCAAACCAAAATGATATAACAAATACAGACAATTGCATAAATTACATAGTAGGTGATTAAGCATTTTTCTAATAAAGGGTATTTTTTTTCAATATGAAATTCACCAAATTAAGGTAGATAACTCTGCCGAGCATTTTATAATATGGATATAAACAATCAATCCAGTGTGCTATGAAAGACAACTCTCTGTATAAAAGAACCATTCAAGATATTCAATATTCAGTCTTTTTTCAAGTGTATAAATCTATGAGTGCATTGCGGTTTGATGGTCTGATTGAAGTGAATAAAGGAGATGGAATTTCTGGTATTAGACCCAGGTTAAATAAGGGTCTACTAAAGTCGTGGTCGGTTCACCGGGGTAGCAACATAAGATTTCGTGTACAGACGTGCAGATGGGATTTCACACCCTCTCCTCTCACCCTAACACACACACACACACACACACACGCACACACATAAACACACAATGCATATGCTGAATGATTGTGAAAATTGCGACCCATATATATATCCTGTGGCAAAATCATAACCCCATCATTTATTTCTCAGTTATAAAATTTACAATCTTTGACATTTAAATTTGGTTTAAAATGATAAATAACTTGTGTCAATCAAAGTTTAAAGTAAGATAAAGAAGTTTTCCAAATTGGGTCATATTAATTAAATGGATATAAGTACTGGTGCACAACCCATTCCGACGTCTAATCGAAAGATGAAATTACTTACCCATTAACATAGTTTATAACCTTGTTGTAATTGCAACCAATTAATATAGTTGAAATATTAAAAGTCAACCTTTCCAGCAGGACGTCTGTGTTTATCTTCATATAGTAAGAGATCCTTCGTATGTCTGATATTTGTCGTTCCGTTTTCAATGGGTTTTTTTTTCTTGTTCTTGTTTTGTTTTATTATAGTTTCGTTGTTTATTTTTTTTTTTTATTATTTATTTGGGATGAAGGGAAAGAGCAAAATATTAAAGGGTACATTTTTTCTTCTTCCATTTTGCGTATATAAAATATGTTTTGACATAGAAGGAACAAACAATTAGAGAAGTAAAATGCCCTACTATAATAATTGCCAACCCAGTGATAATTACCGACTGTTGACATGACACTGCATGTACGCATTTGGTTAAATTTGCATAATTCTCTTTGACATGTGATTTTATTGAAAACGTTTGCAATACTTTTGAAGTATTTGAATAATGTTAAATTAATTGTAAAAAACAACAAAGAATAAGAACGTAGTGAACACAAGTAGTCTAAATTTATGAAACAAAATGATCACAAATCTGCAATATCTCCATCAAACTGAAACTAATTCTTAAAAATCGCCAGGTCTTGATGTTTAAAATTTACCTCACAATCATAATGGTGGTAAATTCAACAGGACCTACAACATGTACAACATATTTAAATTTATGTGATTAAGTGTATTTCAAAATAATGTCATTTCACTGGCTGCCTTAGTGATTAAACAATCTTCCCTTTTTATCCTGTTTTCAATGAACTTGAAATAGACTTGGTCCGTCATCTGATGCATATAAAATGTGTCTTCTTGAAAAAAATTATGTAGATATACTTGCTTTTAATTTAACTTACCGGGATTTGTTGCAAAATTCAAGTACCATAATATGATTAAGAAAAATAACTTCATGTACGTAAACATTAATTAATTTTATATAGTTATGATTAAGGTGGTAACAAACACCTTGACTAAAATTGATTTGGCTCGTTTAAATTTCATAGAAATTTGACAAAATATTTACTTCGATAAAAATATAAAAATTTAAAAATACTTGAACCACACACTTTATCGGAAAAATTTAATTGGATATATAGCAGTTTGACAAACACTTTTTTTAATCATTGAGAACGTGATCAAAATCTTCAGCTGATTTTTACAGACTTATCTGTCTGTAGTGTTATGTACCACCTTAAGAAATGGCATCAGCTATTGATATTGTCAAGATTTCTTTATTTTCCTAAACACAATTTTTGTACCTCCATCTGATAGTTTCCCTCGTGATCCCGATAACGCAGAAATTTTTTATACCGTAAATTAGGCATCCTGTTACTTCAATACCAAAGATCACAGAAACAGTGATACAGAATGGAATAAGTATGTTAATAGACGTTTGTACTTCTAAATATTTATCTGCAATATAGAATTTCTCATTAGAATAGTCAAGTTAAGAAAATTAAAGCGATTATAAAATAAAACCAAACACAAAAATAAACAAATAAACACATTGTCAAACATAAAAAGGTATTCTTCAATGAATCATTTGTTATTTTAATGGTTTAAAAAAGTGTATACTATATACGGTATGTACTATCAACGACAAAAACTTTATTTTCGTTGGTGACGGCATTGTCGAATTAACTTCACTGACTAGTCTTTTGTATACGAAACGCGCGTCTGGCGTATCAAACTATAAACCTGGTACCTTTGCTAACTATTTAAAACCGTAAAGCCCTACCGTTAGATCACAGGCCTGTCCAAGGTAAGAAGACCTCATCAGTGATGAAATGGCATTAAGTTTTGATGGTTGATCTGGCATAAAAGTAACCTTTGCTGTTGACCTCCGAGGTTGTTTAAACTTTAGATATTGTATAAATACTGGTCTGTTTTAGGGGTTTTGACATAAATAACGGATGGCATAGTTCTTTTGAACTCACCATCTTGTTTGCTATTACCATGTGCCATAGGGGTATATATCGTCTCATCGCCAGTGTAATGTACCAAAACTAATGTAGGTCTATTTGTCAACCAATAGCCTACCTTTTTGAATTTTAATGAAAACCTCGGTCTTACACGCCCAGATTTTATCTCAGTACCTGGAATCCTTACCTTGTAAAAAACTTTACCTATTTCAACATTTTTGGCCTTAATTGTTCTACCTCCATCACGAATCCACAAGTACTGATCACACTTACAGTCCTCCGTGTTGATAGACTCAATAACAAAAACATCACCTGCTTTAGGTTTTATTGGTGGCAATGAAGTGACCTTACTCATGTCAGGATCTGACAGAATACTTACGATGATCTCCTTGCTTAGTTCTTCAATGCAAGTGAGATACGGAATCATTGGCCCCCCCCCCCCCCACCGACCAATAGGGGGCTTGATTGACCTGTATGTGACCTAGACTGAGATGTATCTGATGTGACATGTGGACTAGACTGAGATGTATCTGATGTGACATGCGAACTAGACTGAGATGTATCTGATGTGACATGTGGACTAGACTGAGATGTATCTGATGTGGCATGCGAACTAGACTGAGATGTATCTGATGTGACATGCGGACTAGACTGAGATGTATCTGATGTGACATGCGAACTAGACTGAGATGTATCTGATGTGACATGTGGACTAGACTGAGATGTATCTGATGTGACATGTGGACTAGACTGAGATGTATCTGATGTGACATGTGGACTAGACTGAGATGTATCTGATGTGACATGTGGACTAGACTGAGATGTATCTGATGTGACATGCGAACTAGACTGAGATGTATCTGATGTGACATGCGGACTAGACTGAGATGTATCTGATGTGACATGTGGACTAGACTGAAATGTATCTGATGTGAAATGTGGACTAGACTGAGATGTATCTGATGTGACATGTGGACTAGACTGAGATGTATCTGATGTGACATGTGGACTAGACTGAGATGTATCTGATGTGAAATGTGGACTGGACTGAGATGTATCTGTGTTGACATGTGGACTAGACTGAGATGTATCTGATGTGACATGTGGACTAGGCTGAGATGTATCTGATGTGACATGTGGACTAGACTGTGATGTATCTGATGTGATATGTGGACTAGACTGAGATGTATCTGATGTGACATGTGGACAAGACTGAGATGTAGCTGACGAAAGAGCTGGACATAGGTAATGAAACTGAGGAGTACTGTTCAAACCCTTGTACATCAAACATCGAAGACTCATAAGAACCTCACCATGTTTGTTCTTACCTTTACCGAACTTACCAATACCCCAGCAATTGTCATCAACATTGTGTAGCAGTTGTGATCTTACAGTAATAATAAGGTACTTTGCAAATTTTTCACACTGCTGAAATTTTAGCCATGAAAGGTTATACATAAAAAACCACTGTATGCCAAACCAGTGTGATGAAGTCTTAATAAATTTTGAAAGATGTTTTGCATCTTGTGCTGTCTTTGCATGCCGAATTTGATTGGCTAAAGAAAATTGTGAATGCTCGACAGCTTTAACATACTGATACACATGCTCTGACGATGGAAAAGTTATTCCATTAAATACTAGAGTACATGGAAAAAAATTCGACAATGGCGTGGACGGTCCCTTGTATTAAATCGGTGGCGCTGTAAATGTGGGGTTACCAGTTGTCGGCGGTTTAAAGTCAGGATCATAAACAGGAGATGCGGCACGAGCACGAGCTGGAGATACGACACGAGCTGCAGATGCAACACGAGCTGGAGATACGACACGAGCTGGAGATGCCACACGAGCACGAGATGAAGATACGACACGAGCACGAGATGGAGATACGACAAATACATAAACAATACAAAACCGTAATCGTATTTAAAGGACCCGGTAAGTCTTAGAAAACATTAACCGAAATGATTAAAGGAATCAAGTGCAACAGATTCAAATATAAGTGAATATATCACATGCATGTTTGCGCGGTTTCTTCAAATTCAGTGAAAATCAGTTCAATGGAAATGCTCACAAACGTCATCAACATTTTGGTGATATGATGCATAAAAGAATAAAATATTAATAACTTAACTTACCTCAAACTTGCTGTCACTCGTCTTGCATCTATAAAGTAAATATAAATCGACCTTCGGCGTCTTTCAAATTGACAACCTTGCGGAAATGTTACAATTACTCTAAAAGAAACACGAATCCGGATACGGTCTGATATTCCGGGAAGTTCTCGTTTATACATGTTTCGGTTCCAATTAAAATTAATGTTTACATTGTTTATAATAATGTACAGACGAGAAGCAAAATACTTTTCTTTAAATACAAAATATTTATTGGCACAAAGTCATTAATTATAACAATGAATGGTTCCATTTAAAAGTCAGTCCTGTACAGTAGTATTGCATATAATAATATTTAAACAGACATATATTTATAATGAAAAGTTTATAGGATATTTAGAAAAATGTGAGTGGAAATAATTAGACTATATTACAATAATCACATGGGATGTTTTAAATCTGATTTAGGATTAGAAAAAAATGACATGAAAAAAAATCAATGCCTTTTCACTGGTTTCAACAACCAGTGAAAAGGCCGTGATATTTTTTATTAAGCATGAAAGGACAAATTACTACGGCCTTTTCTGGGTATATTGAAATTTCACGGTCTTTTTCTAACATCAAATATTTTTCACGGCCTTTAGAAATATTTTTTTTACAAAAGTCACGGGGTATTTTCACGGGGTTTTCACTGCCCTGTGATATTTCACAGACATTTCACGGCCTTTTCATGGGCTGTTGTTACAGTAGTGCAACGGATGTTCTTAAACCCTGCTGACTGCCATTGGCGATTGCCAAATAAATTGATCACCAGATGTAAAATGGATCTTGATATTAATTTTAATACCAAGCAGAAAACAATAAACTTGCAGAAAAGATGGTATACCACAAACATGAGGTGCATAAATTTTTTACACCATATCCGGATTTCGACAATTAATGTCTCTTCAGTGAGGTTAGGGATCAAAACGGTATTTGGAAGGCCATATAATTTACCTCAATTTAGGATAGACTCTTGAATTTTGAAAGAGTCGAACTAGGATGAACGGATCATATAAACCCGAAGGCAAATAAAATTCAAGCCCAAACGAAAAAATATAATCAAGTCTAAATTGAAAACAGCGTTCAAACCTATGATTGCGTTGGATAAAAACCGCAATTTTTATACGTGTGCATGTAAAACAAATTTCTTGGTAGAGGGGTCTAAATACAGCACAAACAACATTTTCCAGAAGACCAAAAATGTGAAAAGGCAAATTTTAACAAAACGCATTTGACTAACAGGTCGAACAACGATTGTTCTTAATCCTGCTGACTGCCATTGGCGATTGCCAAATAAATTGATCACCAGATGTAAAATGGATCTTAATATTAATTGTAATACCAAACAGAAAACAATAAACTTGCGGATATATATATATAAACAAGTCTCATTTGAAAACAACATTCAAACCTACGATTGCGTTGGATAAAAACCGCAATTTTTATACGTGTGCATGTAAAGCAAATGTCTTGGTAGAGGGGTCTAAATACAGCACAAACAACATTTTCCAAAAGACCTAAAAAGTGAAAAGGTATGTTTTAACAAAACGCATTTGACTAACAGGTCGAACAACGGATGTTCTTAAACCCTGCTGACTGCCATTGGCGATTGCCAAAAAAATTGATCACCAGATGTAAAATGGATATTATAATATTAATTTTAACACCACATAGAAAACAATAAACTTGCAGATAAGATGGTATACCACAAACATGAGGTGCATAAATTTTTTACACCATATCCGGATTTCGACAATTAATGTCTCTTCAGTGATGTTAGGTGATCGGAACGGTATTTGGAAGGCCATATAATTTACCTCAATTTAGGATAGACTCTTGAATTTTGAAAGAGTCGAACTAGGATGAACGGATCATATAAACCCGAAGGCAAATATAATACAAGCCAAAACGAAAAAATATAAACAAGTCTAAATTGAAAACAACATTCAAACCTATGATTGCGTTGGATAAAAACCATAATTTTTATACGTGTGCATGTAAAGCAAATGTCTTGGTAGAGGGGTCTAAATACAGCACAAACAACATTTTTCCAAAAGACCAAAAAAGGGAAAAGGTATATTTTAACTAAACGCATTTGACTAACAGGTCGAATAATGGATGTTCTTAAACCCTGCAGACTGCCATTGGTCACCAGATGTAAAATGGATCTTAATATTAATTTTAATACCAAACAGAAAACAATAAACTTGCGGATATATATATATATAAAAAGTCTCAATTGAAAACAACATTCAAACCTGATTGCATTGGATAAAAACCGCAATTTTTATACGTGTACATGCAAAACACATTTCTGGGTAGAGTGGTCTAAATACAGCACAAACAACATTTTCCAAAAGACCAAAAAAGTGAAAAAGTATATTTAAACAAAACACATTTGACTAACAGGTCGAACAACGGATGTTCTCAAACCCTGCTGACTGCCATTGGCGATTGCCAAATAAACAGATCACAAGATGTAACAAAATGGACCTTTATTATTAATTAAATACCAAACAGAAAACAATAAACTTGCGGAAAAGATGGTATACCGCAAACATGAGGTGCAAAAATTTGTAAACCATATCCGGATTTCGACAATTAATGTCTCTTCAGTGATGTTAGGAATCGAAACGGTATTTGGAAGGCCATATAATTTACCTCAATTTAGGAAAGACTCTTGAATTTTGAAGAGTCGAAATAGGATGAACGGATCATATAAACCCGAAGGCAAATATAATACAAGCCAAAAACGAAAAAATGTAAATAAGTCTAAATTGAAAACAACGTTCAAACCTATGATTGCGTTGGATAAAAACCGCAATTTTTATACGTGTGCATGCAAAACATATTTCTTGTTAAGGGGTCTAAATACAAAACAAACAACATTTTCCAAAAGACCAAAAAAAGTGAAAAAGTATATTTAAACAAAACGCATTTGACTAACAGGTCGAACAACGGATGTTCTTAAACCCTGCTGACTGCCATTGGCGATTGCCAAATAAACATATCACAAGATGTAACAAAATGGATCTTTATTATTAATTAAATACCAAACAGAAAACAATAAACTTGCGGAAAAGATGGTATACCGCAAACATGAGGTGCAAAAATTTGTACACCATATCCGGATTTCGACAATTAATGTCTCTTCAGTGATTTAGGAATCGAAACGGTATTTGGAAGGACATATAATTTACCTCAATTTAGGAAAGACTCTTGAATTTTGAAGAGTCGAAAAAGGATGAACGGATCATGTAAACCCGAAGGCAAATATAATACAAGCCAAAACGAAAAAATATAAATAAGTCTAAAATGAAAACAACGTTCAAACCTATGATTGCGTTGGATAAAAACCGCAATTTTATACGTGTGCATGCAAAACACATTTCTTGGTACAGGGGTCTAAATATAAAACAAACAACATTTTCCAAAAGACCAAAAAAAGTGAAAAAGTATATTTAAACAAAACGCATTTGACTAACAGGTCGAACAACGTATGTTCTTAAACTCTGCTGACTGCCATTGGCGATTGCCAAATAAACGGATCACAAGGTGTAACAAAATGGATCTTTATTATTAATTTAAAACCAACCAAACCAATAAACTTGCGGAAAAGATGGTATACCGCAAACATAAGGTGCAAAAATGTGTACACCATATCCGGATATATATATATATAAACTATACACTATACTGCGAGTACTCTCAGATATGTACTTAATGTCTCTTTCGTTGTTAGGATGAATGAATACCGTGCCACGTCCGATCTATGTTTTTGTTATATTTGTATTTGTATTTGAAGAGTTAATCCTTTTTTTATATTTGTAATTTCGGTGCCTTTTTCTAGCTGACCATGTGGTTTGGGTTTTGCTCATTGTTGAAGGCAGTACAGTGACCTATAAATGAAAAATTGTATGTCATTTGGTCGCTGGTGGAGAGTTGTCTCATAGGCAACTATACCACATGTTCTTATTTTTATATAGATGTTAATTTAATATATCATCTTTCTGAAAATATGTACCTTTACAGGACGCTAATAGATATTTACTGCCAACAGCCAGTCCTTCAGTTATTAAAGTACACTTTAATTCTAAGTTGCGTTCGCATGTTTTTGAATTGCTGACAAAA